CCCCAAAACCCCAAAACCCCAAAACCCCAAAACCCCAAAACCCCTAAAGCATTTCAACTAGTTGAAATATTTAAAATGGAAAATTGTGGCAAAAATGTAAGTGCTCTTCTACTCAGCTAACTATTGTCTTTCTAACAACAGATTTAGAGTTTAAATAACACAAATTTTACAGTGCAGAATTCTATGAATTCACATAGAAGTCTGGTAAGGCTGCTTGGTAACAATACAGGCGAATCAAGATTTTGGGTTATCCTCTCTCCCTCCAAATTTCTATACCAGGAATGATAAATCCATGGCAGCTCACTATGAGAACAAGATTAAAGATATAGTTACGAATGATGAAATTATCCAAGCACTGAAGAATAACCCCACTTCAACAGAGTTCATCAGTGAGAGGGTCAAGGAAATTGTCGAGGAGACCATAGTTGCTGATAAAGAGAGACAGATTCAAGGTAATCCTCAATACTATTATTTAGAACTCCTGGGTGAAATGGAAATCCTGAAACAAGAAGTAGCTAAATATGACCAAAGATTATCTGAAATTAAGCATCACCAAGCAACCCAAGATTCTGAAATCGAGACGAAATATAAAATTGAAAATCAGAGATTGCAGCAGCAACTTGCTGAACTTAACGATCAGGTCAAGTACTTTGATTCTTCACAGAGATTTGAGAACCAAAGAAGCCAGAAAGATAAGGCTGTATTCGAGGAAGAAATCCAAAGACTCAGTGAGAAGCTGGGCTCCACTACCAGAGATAATGAAGCACTTAAGTCCCAAATTAATGAGCTCAACTCAGACTGTCAGACAATGCAGAGATTGTACAAGATACTTGAGCAGAACCATGAAAAATTGAAGATTGACTTCTCTGAGAAAAATGAAGAGCTGAAGACCACTCTTTCTGAGTCAAATAATTTCCAGACTAGCAATTTTGAACTTGCTCTGCAAGTTAAGCAACTTGAGGAAGAGCTAGTCAGGATCGGACAGTCCAAAGAGACAATAGAAAACGCTAAAGGAGAGCTTCTCCAGAAGTTTAACCAATACGGAAGTGTAATTCAGAAGGAATGTGAGGATAAAATTTTAGCTTGCAAGAACAAATACAAAGATAAAAAGGAAAAACTGGTAGAGAAGATCCTATCTCAAAAGCAAAAGATTGATCAATTTAACCATCAAAAAGGTATAACTCCTTTTAATCTGTAGGTCAATACGAAGATACCATCAGTGGTTTCAAAGAAGACATCAAGAGGGTTAAACAAGAATGGGAGAACAAGCTCTATTATGAACAACTTGAATTTGAGAAGAAAATATCTGAGCTCACCTCCAAGCACAAGCACGAGATTAACCAAATGCAGGAAGAGATCCAGAAAGCATATGAAGAGAAAATTTCTGAAATAGAAGTAATCCCAATCTTATCTCTTTAGGGCGATAATGAACAAGAAATAGAAGCTCATAAGAGAGAAGTTGACAATCTCAAAGAACTTCTGGATAAATCCCAGCAAGAAATAGACGACCTCAGGGAGAGAAACCATCAATTTAAGAATCTTGAGATAGAAAAGAATGAAGAACTAAAGCAGATTACTGAATCTATCGAGAATGAACTCTACTCCAGGATTGAAGAAATTGAAGTAGAGCTTGAAAACACAAAGGAGGATAACTCCCTGCTGCAAGAAAATATCGATACAAAGGACCAGACATGAAAAGAACTCACAGCTCGGCTGGAAGATTACGACCATAAGTTGCAACAAAATGAGGCAAGGATCGAAGAAATCCTCAAAGAGAATGGGGCTCTAAAGAGCCGACTTGACAATGATTTCAAAACCAAGAATCTTGAAAATAAGATTCGTGAGAATATGGCTCTTCAAGATGAGATAAAGACTCTTCAAGGTACCCCAATGTTTAATATTGCTATAGAGAAGGAATCTAATTTACTGAAAGACATAGAGACTTTCAAGGAGCTGAATGCTGATCTGGAGAAAGATCGTAAAGCCGCTATTCAGACTACTAAAAGCGATAAAAATCAGATCCAAATTCTGGAACAAAAGCTCTCAAAACTTGAGAAGGAGCTTGAAGAGAGTATTGATAAACACAGAAAGTCCAAAGAAGCAGATTTGGACAAATATGAATCTGAAATATCTGCTCACAGTCAAGCGAAAGCAGACCTGAGAGCTCTCAAAGAGAAGCTTACTGAGAGTAAGGCCAAGAATGAAGAAATTAAGAGGAAAAATGAAAGAGAAATGAATGAAATCAAAGTTGAACTTGAATTCACAAAGAAAAATCTCAAAGCAGCCACTACGAAGAATAAAGAACTGGATAAAGGAAAGATACAAGCTGAAGAAGATCTTCAGGCCTCTAAGAGGAAATATAGAACTAAGAGGGAATATTTGATAGCTAGATTACAGACAGAGTCTCAAAGAAAGATAACTCAGCTAAAGAATGAACACAATGGGTTCAAGAAGGTGATCATGGAGCTTTTGAAGGCTCATGAGAGCTCGATAAAGGATAACATTCCTAAGATTTTAGGTGCTGTGTCTAAAATTGATGAAAATTCAAAGAATTCATCGATTAAATATCATGAAAAGAATCTTAAAACTCTTAGCAAATTAGAGAAAGAATTACAAACAAAATGCGAACTTGTAAATTCACTTCAAACTGATCTCTCAATAACCAAAGAAAACCTACATACAACTCAAAGCCACCTCGAACACTCAGAAAATGAGATAAACGACCTCAGAGCCCAACAAAAAGTACTTGAAAAAGAATACCAAATCTGCCTCAAAAACCTCGACTCCAAAAACCTCAAAATCCAAAAACTAAACTCCTCCATCACCCCTTCCACTCTCTCCAAAGACGCTCAGACTCTCACCACCATCATCACCAAAGAGATCGACAAGAAGTACAAACAGAAAATCCTCGAACTCCTCACCCTCGTCGAACAAAACTCCTCTAAATACAAGCAGAAGCTCTACAACGTCCGTAAGCTAGTCTTCGCCCACAGCGCCTCGGCTGCCCCGGCCGAGGCCGCTTACCGGAGCGAACAGTCTTTAGTCACGATTAAGACGCTCAAGCTTGACTTGAAGTCGAAGGAGAATGAAGTTCACAAGCTGAAGAACGATAAGAAGATCCTGCACTCAAACGTGGTCAGGCTTAAGAAGGATAATGACTCCTTGAGGAAAGCAGTAGGTTATGGATTAGTTATTTTAGGTGTGTAAGAAGAGGAAGGAGAATGATGAGCTGGCGAAGTTGATACAGAAGACGAATGAGCATATATCTCTTTCAATAGGAACAATCCCGATGGCATTGAAATTAACTCAAGAGAAGAAGATAGCAAGTGGTCGAGATAGAAGGGAAGAGAATGAAGATCCTAATTCAGGATAAAATGAATATTAAATTTTAAAATGGGGTTTTGGGGTTTTGGGGTTTTGGGGTTTTGGGG